TTAAACGTATGCCATTCAAAGCTGTCATCCGGAGGCTGAAGTTACGATGTCTATCCATTAAACCTGAATTGATAAATTGGTGCCGTATCCAGTACGCTTCGAATAATGAACGAAAGGTTCACCAGCGTCCAGCGTTGACACGGTTCTTGAAAATATTTCTTAAGAGCGATCTCTCAAGAAGAAGCGGGGTCTACGGATGGGGAACGAGGGATTATCTCGGGCGCAGTAAAACGAATTGCAACGTAAACTTTATGGCACCTTCGCTCCTAGCCCTGAATCTGTCCCGTGGAATGAGACTTTCTTCCGTCACGGGAAAGCGCGCTGTAAAACAATACTACAGTCGAACCAGCCTTGCCAAGGTTACTCGTGGATCCCAAAAAAATTCGACTATGGACTCGGCGGCTCGTTGACTTTGGCAAACCTTGACTTGCACACCTCCTTGGTACCTGGCCAGAAAAGGGTCGTAAAAGTTGAAGAAAGCTGCCACGGGTCTGGGTGGCGCGAGATTCGCACGAGTCGATGGAGTTAATCCGGCTGTAAATAGAAATTTCGTTTATGGGCCCTGTTTAACTGTCACGAATGGGGCAACTGGAGGCTGCTGTGCTTGCATCGCTGGTGGACATGATGGTTTGACGTGGATGAAGGCTTGTCGGAGATGGAAGATTAATGGTTTAATCGGGGGCGAAAGGAGGACCTGGGATCGTCATTTTTTTGGGGACAGGGATAGCAGATGGGAAGTCGATTGAAAAAAATTGCTTCTGTTGTCTATTGGAGAAGGAATGTAATGGGAGAAATGGACGAGAAACACTTACAAGTTACAGATTATCCAAATATTCGTATCGATGATACACACACGATGACTAGATAGTGTATGTATATTGATTTTTGGACCATCTGACAACAGCTTCTATAATTGAAGCTGCCGTTCGTAGCTGCCCAGCAGACAATTCGTCGACAACGCGGTGCAACGAGACGAAACCGGTCCAGGATGGGATAAGCTGGCGCAAGAACGACCGTGGCAGCTTCCTCGCGCGAGCTTCGTTTCGTTAATTAGCCCCGAATCGACCCGGTGCGCCGTTTGCGAGGCATTGATAGTCCCGGTATCGCGGCTCTGGATCGTTCAACCTGCCGCGAGCAGGAATTCTGTGTAATCGGGCTTAATTGCATCGATTCGCGAGCGACCAATAAATCTGACAATAAAGCGGAAGTCTATTAAATCTTTCCTGTGGCGCAGAGATTCGTGGAGTCGTTAGAGTTGAACAATCGAATCGGTTTTTGCGTGGAAAAGCCACGTGCTCCAGCCCAAAGTTGGTACGCTCAGCGAAAAAATTTGTAAAACACTCGACTAGCCACTGTTCCGCCAGGACTAGAGGTTTTCGGGCGTGCTGAGAAGGCGATGGCTGAAGCAACATCGACGGCCAGCTGCTTCGTATATCTCTCGGCGGGATCGTCGCACACCACGAAGACCACGACGTCCCGGCGTCATGCGTGCAGACGATGTAGGGCCTAACAGACGCTCCCCTTGCCCAGAACGCAAGAGCATTCTCTAAATATTATCGCACAATATTTTTATCTCTCGCTGGATAAGTTATGCCAGCGTGGTGGCCCCACGGTGGAATCTCGAAACCTGCTACGGTATCGATATTTATTTTCCTCCTTGGCTAGCCTCGCCTAGCGAGTTGCAGCCCTTTTACTGCGGGGAGGAAAGTATTACGATGATTTTCGTTTTAATTTTACGTTACGTTTACACGAGGAAGCGTTTGGAATGCTAAGAATTCTTGGAGCGCGGAAGAGACGTCGGTCAGTGGCGCAAGGGAGTAAAGATACGTGCAGACCAAGGCGACCGAAGATATACGTTGGAACCTAGGAACTCGGTGCGAAGTTGAAATGTAAGGGCACATTGGCATAGACGAGTTTCGAGCACATGTGCTGGAATCTTGGCGAACGTTTGCACATGTGAAACCTGAGTACATGTTCTTAATTCAAGAATATAATTGGTAAATAGTCCACACTCAATGTTTCGCGTACAGCATCAGGGACACGTACTCTACCATTCTGCAGAAGTAACACAGAATCGATAGAGGGCAGCTTGGAATCTTTCCCTGTAAATGAATATGATATTTTTGAGTTTCATTCATGCCTCGATGCCAGGATAAATATACGAACGATCTGGAATATTCAACGACGCGCAGCGTTAATAGAGCTCGGCATTGCTTTATACATATGCATGAACTCAATTGGCTGTCACTCGCGATGCTCCCAACCAGTCTAGCATCTAATCAGCGCCAGATAGCTCCAGTGGCTCGTGATGGAAGCTAAACTTTCACTTGATGGAGTTTACCACAGTTTCACTGCAGAGTCCTCCCTTTGTGACATAAACCATCTTTGCTTATTCCAACCATACTTTGCAAGTTTTAAGAACCAGATAAATTGATCTTGCAGTTCTTTGGCTCTTAGGCTTCGTGTAGGCTCTGTAACCTGGGACCTAGGGTTTTTACATTATTTCCCCTATTGTTTAGAAACACAAACAAACGTCATAGTCCTAACCAAGGAATCCTTGATCTCACACAGCATCCACTGGTGCCAAGATTTCTCGCACGAGTAAACACTCAGCACCTGACGTCGCTGAGCCTTCAGACTCTGATGTAACTCTACATCTTGGATGAATATCGTTATCCTTGCTCCCGTCCAGATGTCGAAACGAAGCCTCCGTCCACTTTTTGACCCCTCGAGAGATGTCGAAATTGTCGTTAACGGTAACAAAGGTCGCGGTGAAAAAAGACCAACGACTGGTTGAAAGCGAGCAAAACGAGCGACTGGCGGAGCTGCTTACAATTTGTAATCGTCGTGGCTACCTGCGCGGCGCTAGGCCGCTCGGGGATCGTCGAAAAAGCACGGTGACAGGGCCCCGCAAGAACTAGTCCCCCCCTACGAAGAGTTGACAGTATTTTTGTTTGGCGTACGAGACGCCTTCATTACCCATACACCCGATGCGAGCGAGGAACTCCCATTCAGAATTCAGACTCATGAATACCGCTCTCTGGTCCCGTTCTGAGAATATGTATACGGCTTGTGTTTCGCGTGCAGAGTCGAACCCCCTGTTTCGACCAGGTATCGTAATTCGATTTTTGCTTTTGACTCGGCCTTCCTTGGCGATTCCTGTCGGGACGTTTTCGTCGGGTATTCTTTTGGTTGTCGAGCGAGGATTTACCACTAGTTTGTTTCTTGATTCGTCCGAGAAGGTTCTCAAATCCCGATTAAATCTACTATTCGACACATAGGATGGCGAGATTCGATCACGCATAGATTACTATTGAGATGTAGTTACATTTTGTATCACAATGTCAGGAATAGTCGGTATGCAGCTCGCAAAAAGCGGTAAATACTATTACGTAACTTCTGCTATACAGAAGAAGCGCCGAGGATCTTGAAATACAAGTATTCAAACTATGATGATAGAGTATTATACTTACAAATCCGTGAACGCAGACACGAATCTAATTCCAGTTTGCCTCATACCAATTATTTGCTTAAAAAGTAAGCTATTTATTGCTCGTGAGATCTTATATCGTAGAAACATTAATGGTAGAATTAACTTTCAATTAGTAACGTGAAATAAATATTATGTAATCGAAGTAAGATTGAAAGAAATAGGCAGAACATTCGATTTATCTAATGAAGTAGATGTCGGTACTTTTCTTGGTACTAATTAATGCAAATTAACTCGTTATGAAAGTGTTATGAACCGATGTAGAATATTCCTAATACACCATAAATTCAACTTCTTGCTTGTCGTTTATAGTCTACAGATAGAGAAAACAAAATTTGTAACGAACTGCAATTTAGATAAATGTGTAATAACTGAATCGAAAGGTTCCCAAGAGGTATGCTTGAATAGATATTTCTAGGTGACCATTCGAGTAAGAGGTCATTGTTATTAACCTCTGTCCTTACATTAACACTTCTCAGAAGGTTACCCTAAGTGGTCACCGTTTTTACCCCCTGTGAACATTTCCTAGGTGGTCACCCAATAGTGCTGCAAAGAATTAATAATATTCTGTCCCAACAAGGACACCCAATCTCTTCGTTTCGGCGTCGACGGACCTAATAATCCTCCAATCGGGGATTCCACCTGATTAACCACTTCTATCGAGATTCGTCGTACGTCTCGATTTTTCCCGCTCCTTTTGGCCGACGTCCTTTCAGTAAGAACTCGTGGGTCCAATTAAGAGCGAGCAACCAGTCGAGCATCGTTCTCCGCGAGCGTTTTGTTTCCATTCTGATCGGCACTACGCGGGCGCCATGAAAATGCTTGAGAATCTCCGGCTCGGTCTCTATCCTTCCTACGGTCTCGTCTTCTTCGTTGCACTGCTCGCGCCGGTGAGAGAGAATTCCATCGCGTTCACCGACGCGTTTCCGTTTCTGTACGTACGAATTGAACAGTGGGGGTCCAATTAAGAGGAAGCACGCGAAGGAAATGGCTCGGAGAAAGACTGGGTGGAACGGCGAACCGTGGGCAACCGCGGATACGGGGTAGAATCAGTGGTGGATTAAGATTTCGTAGACCCCTGGGCTGCGAGCACTGTGATTGCGAATACTGGCCTGTAAGAGTAATATTTCAGCACAAAAGTGGCTATATTTCTTCAGGATTGTTGGTAACTAGTTTTCACGTTATGGTATTCGATGCTTTGTATCAATCTAAATCGAAATGTCCTGTGTCATTTTGATGTGGGATGCTTTGTTGTCGAGATGTACGTAGTTAAAGTTTGTATGTATTTTAGTTTCCTGAAAAATTAAGAGTTTTAAATCTCCTGGAAGTTCCCACTTCTCGATTCGTCCCTGGGTAGAAATGACGAACTAATGAAATAGTCGAGGGTTGAACGAGTAGGAAACGGAGCTCGAGTCGGTATTCGAGATACGATCGTTCCTATAGTTTTAATACCGCAATTACCACCGAGTCTAATTATCAAAGCCCTAACCAGTGTGCTCGTGTGTTACAGATCAGACAAGAGAAACCCTACTACATCGCGGATCCGGAGGTGGACTCGCTGGTGAGTATTTCCTTATTCGAACTGTCGCGGACCACGACGATAAAACGTTCCCGATGCCTTTACGTTTTTCCTAACCGCCATCAGCAATGTTTCTTTCCCCCGTACGCGGGCACGTTCGCCTCGTTTGCGCCTAATCGTTCAATTTTATCTGGCGATCGCGCGCCGGGATACGTTCGGACGCGCGCTGACCACCCGGCGCGTTCGTTTTGAAGAATGACGATGGAAGAAAAGCTGCCTCGGATCGCCGCCCCGAGACGGGAAGCGTTTAATTGTCGGTGGAAATTACGGGAAGCAAACCGAAAGAGGATGTGCCCCGATGGAAAATGTAATCACTCGGTAATTTTTCTTTCTATCTATCATTCCTGGAAGAAGGATTCAGGCTTGTAGAAGAATTCCTTGGGGTTATATTCGCACTTTGAAACGTGCAGGAAGTACCGAAGTCCCTGATATGTGTGGTATATTTAATTTTAGAAGATATGATGATTGGTGATTTGAATGCCAGTAGAGGATACACCGAGCTCCCGCAGAAGACGTGGTCGGTCAGTAGGTTGTATGTTAGATAGTCGAGTTTGTTTTCGAATCGATTGTTGGGATGGAAATTTATTAAATGGAAGGTTAGAATTAAAGCTAAGAAATGTATTCTACATTAGTGTTAGATACGAACGCGCGTGGAGATATACTCAAAATTCCATCGCGCTAATTAGACGAAGGAAACGCCAATAAAGAACGCGTCCGGTGGAAAATGATACTAGACGAGGTGTTGAAACTTCCCCTCTCCGGAAGCGTGTTTCCTTCAAACCGTGAATAATTTCTCTGTCCATCAGTCTCACGACTTTCAGAATTCTTACGCTTCGCATTCACTTGCAAACCCCACATACGTGTTTTCCAGTCTTCTTTAATCTTATATCTACATAACTTTGCTCAAATCAATTCTATCTTTTTTTCTCTCAAAACAAAGGCATACACAGCTATCTTTCACCACCAAATAGTGTCTAAAATCTTCGAGAAGTGTTCACCACTATTTAATTCGTTAAATTTTTCATAAATGACCTCTTTTAGAACACCAGTGTTTTAGGAAAGAACAGATTGTTAAACTAAGGTGTACGACGCTATCAAACGTCCATTTTCTCAGCGAGTCGCGCGTCATGGCGAATCGCGGTGATTTGAACGCGCGTAGAGGAAGCGTATGCAAAACTCCATCGCGGTAATTAGACGATAAAAACGTTCTGGAACTCGTTGCTTCGCCTTTGTTTCTACCGGTAGCCGGTCGTGGCAGCCATTTCGAATTGCAGACCTTCGAAACACCGGAGGAAGAGATATTTCAAACGACTCTCCGCGTTCTCCGATCGAGATAACGGACAGTGGGCTTTTTAAATAACTCGTGTGTATTCCTTGCCTGGACGAGGACGCACGGCGCCCAGCCGATGCTCCGACCAGCTCAATGTCGACCTGCCATTATGGATTCCATCACCGAGAGACTTTTGTCCTTGTTACTAGGCCTTTGCTCGTTTACCTTTCGTATCTGCCTTCGAAACAATTAAGCCTCTTCGCTGCTTGGCACTGGAGAACCCAGAAAATGGTCGGACTACGTGAAGCATGGCCTGAAATTTGGAGTATGAAATACTTTGGATGGTCTCATTTCATTTTGGGGGCATTCCTAGGCCAAGAACCATAAATTTCAATTAATTCAGTCCCTTTGGCTTACTAAAATTCTAGAGGATTTAATAGATAACACTGCAGAATAATATTCACTGGTTTTGGAGCCACGCAGAAGTACATTTTTATTTTTCAAATCCCAAAGCCTCGAATTCAAATTTCTCTGAAAAATTCCCCAATATTCGCTGCGCACGAGTCTTTTTTCGTGACGTATAGCTAACTTACGGCCCTGTCCTCCGTGACGAAAAGGTTGGCGCGTTTTCGCGAATATCCGGGCCGTAATTCAAAATTGGATATATCGAGCGTGTTAATGGCGTACCGGTGTACGGTTCCGCGTACGTGGCCGTGATTGTTTTTTTTTTTTTCGTCAGTGCAGTGGGAAATAGGTAGAGGCAAAGAGCGAGGGTGGCAGGGGCGGGCGGGCTGAAGGGGAAGGGTTGGAGAGAACGAACGACGGGGATGCATTTCGTTGACGTTGTTCGCATCGTTGGCCTCAATTTTTCAAAATGTCACGCCCGTTATCTGAGCTGTCATGACGGCATCGGTTCGCGCGCAAACATATCCACGGCAAGGTGTACCCGGTGCTCGCATCTCGCGCCGCTGTTGTCACAACTGTCGACCAGTCTCGATCTGCTGAAACAAAAAACAAAAAAAAAAAAACAAAACAAAAAACATGCGCAGGTATACACGCGAAAATATTCGACGGGAATGAATGGAAAAGTAACGTTGGAAATGGGAGGTACGTTACGAGGGTTGTTTCTTCGATAGGATGCTGGAAAAGGTTGCGTTTTTCGTTAACACCCTATGTACGTGGGTAGACTGGGAATTTGGTGCGTTCTGTGGTGTGTGATTGTACAGGGAATGCATATGAAACGTACGATTTTATGTAGGAATGATATCAATATCTTCATTTTGTATCAATGTATTCTGCATACGTTTTGCATGTGGTTTCGATGTTCGTATGTACCATAAATGCATAAAATTTGCAGTCTATTATTGAATATGTACGCGTAGGCACATGATATAGTGTTTCTTGATTGCATTTAAACGATCGAATGGGTTTCGATACAACTTTATATGTAAAATAATGACTGTACCTCGCAGTTGTTAGTTTTTCCAAAGTAGTAAATCAGCTTCGAATAGGATTAAATTTTGCAGAAAAAATAGTATGAATTTCTGACATCGAAAATATTAATGAAATTTTTATCTTTTCGTATTCGGGCATGTCATCGTATATTCATCGAGTCTTTTTGCCTAGAATTTTCCATAATTTTTGTCCGCAATTTTTTTCTCCAAACCTGTCAAGCAATGTTTAACATAATGCGTCAGAAAATATTGTGACGTAATTGTCTCTGTTAATTTAAATAGTAATAGGAAACAGGTTTGTCGCAAAGAGCAATACCGGACTCGCGCAGCTGTCACAACTGTCTGCTGAAACAGAAACCGAAATAAAACCAGAAAAAGAATACATGCACATGGTATAAAGGGAGAGGGGGTGTTCGATGAAAAAGAACGGGGAAAATTGTGTCGAAAACGGGAATATTTCGCAATAACCAGACAGTACGTCCCAGAAAACGCGTCGTCGTTCGAGCTGGACTCAATTATGCATCCGTCACATTAAGTATACCTTAAGCGTTGCCGTTTGACAGCGACGAGACGTGTTCCATCTGTATTTAAAAAAATAAACGTCACTGGTCGTTGCTAACAATGCAGAGAAACATATTTGGAGGAATTCTATGCAGAATTTTCCAGCGGAATTCCTATATTCAGTGACGTGGCGCTTCGTTGATATTCGGTGGGATCGTTGTAGCTTATTCGATACTGGGATGACAGAAGTCAAGCAGAGAGATCTCTGTTTTTATGGAATATTTGAGGAATATTAAAAATTCTACTGATAATAATAATAATAATAATAATAATAATAAGAAGAAGAAGAAGAAAGTAGGCGTAATTTGTATGTCTGCGTACATACGTGGTTTCTAAAATAAGACGCTATGAATTACAAGTCCGCCATCATTGATCCAGCCACGGTCACTATGATTACACCTGTTGCGAGCGAACGCAATAGTTCAAAAACGGTTCTTGCTAGAACTGCCACTTTTAATAAACGTTTCCTTCCGATTTCAGCCCGTGTCGAATTTAAATTCCAAGCAATCCGATTATTAGTGAATGATTAGTGCGACATCGTCTTGACAACCTCGAATCGAGTTCGCGATCTCAATGTTTTATTTGAATTTTCGTTAACTATGCTGTTTAAGTCACGTGATTATATTCGCTCATCTGTTTTGTTTAACCTTCTACGAGCCAAATTAGTGTTTCTCCAGACAATTTGTTTCTCTTCTGTTTTATCAGTCTTTACAAGTGAATCCTTTATTCTAGATTGTAAAGCCTTACTTTTCCAAATACATACTTATAATTTTACCTTCACTATCTACTAAACTTGCGTTCTAACATATTGGAAGAGTTCTTTTCAATGCGATAAACAGCGATTCCCCAATGAAAGAAACCCCTGGTGCCAAAGATTAACCGCCATCTTCGTTTTCCGCCTTCACGGCGTCGAAATCGCCTCCGGCCTGTCGATAATCTCTTCGAAAATAATTCCCTCTTCGGAACGCGCAAAAACTCGCGAATCGAATCGCCTAGAGAATTTACGAACGGCCCCGAGAGCTGGAGGAGCGAAGAAACCTGCAAGCGGGTCTGCCAGAGGAGGATCTTCTCGAATCGAAAATCGCAATCGCTGGATCGACGTTGCTCGCCGCCAGAAGCCGTGGCGTGGCTTCATTACGTCCGTGGCAAATCGCAATCTACGAGCAATGAGCTTCTATCGTAAAGAACAGGCACGTAACGTCCGTGGTTTTTGCTCGACCTACCCTCTCCATCGGTCCCTGTATTCTTTCTCCCTTCCTTGGGGCCCTTTTTTCCTCTTTCTAGCAGCCACCAGCCTTTCTTCTCGCTCCTCGAGTCTCGGGGCCTGACGCGCACGCATGGCCGTCGATCGACGGACGCTTTTTGCGGATTATTTCGCGGAATGGAAAAGTCGAGGATCGAGAAAGCTTCGATGATGGGGCTTGGTGTTGCGAGCAACGTTTCTTGATCGGTTTCTTCTGCGTGGCTGTCGTTGAAGATGGCTGATGCTCTTATCTGGACGCAAATTTCAAGTGGAGGATAAAATATAAATGCGAGTCTTCAATATATTATTTAGGTATATCTAGAGTATATCCACTTCTACTTTTAATTATTTAAAAAACAACTTAGTATTGTTATTTTGCAAAGAAACTTTTGTGCTTTTATTCGAGTCAGATTTTGTCCACTTCTGGGCGTCGTCACGCTCCAGCAAAGGGCTC